GGGTTGATGTGGGCTCTGCCCACTACCTGAACAGGCAGCCTCTCCACAGGGGACGGAATGGAATTATCTAGTTCTTTTCTTTTTCTTTCTTTTTTTTTTTTGTGGGGGGGAGAGGTTTTTGCTACAGGGCCTGTGTACTCACCAGACAGACAGAGACAGAGAGACAGAAAGCGAGAAATCACCCCCCAGGGGGGATGATCATGCCACAATCCCTTCTCCATTCTCCTCTCAGGATCTTGGGCATGCATGCACACGTGCCCGGCGTGAGTTTTAAGCCACCGGGTCCGGGATGCGAACTGCGATCAACTACGTGGGAGTCCAGTGACATAGCCATTATGCTAACTGCTGGTTCTCAGGCTATTTTGTTCTCACAAAGTCTAGATACTATTTTCCGGGCTGTGAGAAAATCCAAAGAGCCATGAAAGCCTGTTCGCTTGGTGAAAGACTACAGAAGGCCTGTATTTCAGGGTGGGAGACAGTCATTGCACCCTCGTTTCTGTTCTTCCAGAACATGCTGGTGGAGATAGAGCAGAAGGTGGTGGCCCTGTCAGAGCTGTCCGTCCACAATGAGAACCTGCTGCTGGAAGGCAAGGCTCACACCAAGGATGAGGCCGAACAGCTGGCGGTGAAGCTGAGAACCCTCAAGGGGAGCCTCCTTGAGCTACAGAGAGCCCTGCATGACAAGCAGCTCAACATCCAGGTGAGGGCGCTGTGGCTGATGCATGGCAGAAACTGGACACCTGTTTGCATGCCTCTTCCAAACGTGTCAGATAAACAAAAGGTTGGAGGGGCTAGGTACTTCCGTGTAAGCTGCTTTACACAAACATTTTAGCATGCTGTTTCAATTTCACACTGTGAGTTTGGCATAGATTTTGAAATAGATGTTAGAAGAACCATTTGAGTCCATAGACCTTGGGCCTACTATATGGGGAAAGAGAAGAAAATAGAAAAAAAGGCACTAAAACTTTAAGCATAGGTTATGGATGAATATATATAGACATATCTCACCGTCTCCCATATGTATTTTATTTCTCCTACATTCCGCATTTAGATATACTCAGACAGTTTTATTTAGTGCCAAGAAACTTAGAATTGTTGTATATTCCAAGTGAAATGAAACCTTTTACTACAATGTAGTGACTTTAATGTTTCTTTTAAGTCACTGTTTTATATTCTTAGAGCTTTAGAAAGATAAATATATATATATATATATATATATATCCTTTTTTTAGTTAAAAAATTTTTAAGATAGATTTTTGCTATAGGGTGCATGTGCTTACCAGAGAGACAGAGACAGAGAGAGATAGAGAGACAGAAAATGAGAAATAACCCCCAGGGGGGATAGCTACATCACAATCTCTTCTTCTCCATGCTCTTCTTGGGATTTTGGGCACACATGCACGTGTACCTGGTGTGAGTTTCAAGCTGCTGGGTCTGGGACTTGAACCGTGGCTGCCCATGTGGGAGTCCAGTGACGTAACCATTATGTCATCTGCTGGTCCCTGCTTATATGTCTTTTAACTTTACTTTGATTTTAACTTATAATTAGCTTTTACTGTGTTTTAGAATCTGAAATTTTAGATGTTTCTTATAAAGAATATTTAACTCTGGTTTGACAGTTCCAAACATGTATCTAACTAGAAAATCTCTGACTTTTAAAGGGCAAGCTTAGACCATTTGAGTTTATTGTGATTACTGGTATGTTTGAACTTTTATTATTTTACATTTTATTTTTTATACTTGCCCAGGTCTTTCTCATCTTTCTCATTTTTAATTTTTTAAGGGATTGAGTGCTTTTATTATTTTTATCCTCTGTACTTGTATTTATTTATTTTCTTACTATACATACCTAGTAAATTCTAAGTTAATACCTTTATCTTCTTCCAGATCCATATGAGAATATCAGAACACTTTCATTTGGTTTCTCCCAATATATCTATGTACTATAATTATTCAGTATTGTAACTCCATTTTTAACCTTTACAACACAGATAGTACCATTTATCATCCCATGCAAAAATTTGGCAAATATTTTTTTGAGAAGCTATCATGCCTGCTATTTCTCTCTGTAATAAGACGAAGGAACATGGGATACAACTCTGTCTGTATCTTTACATCTATGTCTATATAATCCCATCTTCAAGGCATTATAGCTGAGAGACACAGATAATAAATAAAATTAGAATGCATTATTATATTAAGTTACAAAATGATAAGAGCTTAGGTGACATAATATAAAATAGGTAGAAAGGGAAAAGCTAAAAACCAGAGATTTAAATGTAAAAATTAAACCTGGAAAGTACTTAATGTATCAAGTATTTAACAATAGCCAAAAAGAATAGGAAGAAGCTTTTCCAGTATGCCCCAAACCCAAAATTGTTTAGGATCTCTAAAATCTATCCACAAAAATGAAAAAAGTTTTATATGAACTCCCCATGCCCCAAAATTAACTAAGTTAAAAGACATAGACGAATAGGGAAGAAACTATGCAATTCATAATCCCTTTGACAATGAATAAGAAAACATCATCTTATAGAAAAATGACAGGCCAGCAGGCATGGAGGTGAAAGTGACTGGATCCCACATGGCCAACGGCACAGTTCAAGTCCTAGACCTGGTAGCTTGTACGATGCACCAGATGTGTGTGTGCCTAGAATCCTAATAGGAAAATGGTGGAAAAGGGATTATGGCATGGTCATACCCCCATGGGGTGCTTTCTCACTTTCCCTCTCTCACTATCTCTGGCAAGCACATGCACCCTATAACAAACAAACCAAAAAAAAAAAAAGAGGGAAGAAAGAAATGTGGGCAAAATATATAAAAAGATAATTTAATAGGAAAAAAATACAAATCGCCAATTAATGTATGACAAGATGTTTGAACTCCTTTTTAGATAAAAAAAAATGCATATTAAAACAAAATACAGCTTTTTACTTTCAATTTACATACTTTAAAATGTACATGCAATCTGACTTTATAATTAAGACAAAAAAATGTTTGGAATGTTAAAATTAAACATAACTAAAATAAATTTTTCAATATATAATCACACAATTCACTTAACTTTATAAAAAGTATGAGTTAAATGTTCCCTAAAATATGAAATTTTAAATGCTTCCAAAATCTGAAACACTGTGGCTGCTGATATGACACCAACAGGTGGAAAATTCTATACCTGACCTCATGTGATGGGTTGCAAACAAAGTGCTGCAATATAAAATTTTGTTTCAAGTTACCGTCAGGCTATGTATATAAGATGTGCATGAAACACAATGAATTATATGTTTAGACTTGGGGCAAATCTCCAAGTATCTCGTATACAAATGTTCCAAAATCTGGGGAAAAAATCCAAAATCCAAAGCACTTCTGGTCTCAAGCATTTCAGATAAGGGATATTTAACCTGTTTTATTAGTCTAATGCATAATGTTTTTTTTCCCAGGGGTGGTCTATAAATTATCTTCATTTCTTTTTTAGAAAATATTTTTCATTTAGCTTTATTTATTATTATTATTATTATTTTAATTTGAGCTGGCAGAGAGAGAGGGAAAGTCAGAAAGCAAGTTGCTGGATCTGGGACTCGAACTGTGGTTGGCCATGTGTGAATCCAGCACCTTTAACTACCACACCACCTGTTGGCCCCAGTAACCTTAATTTCTAAAGAAGCTAAAACAAAGGGAGAGCTCGAAGTTTCATATGTGGGATAGCTGGCATTCATAAAGCTTAGAGTTTACCCTTACCCCCGGAGGGACAGGAAGAGAGGGAAGGGTTTACCTGATATTTACATGTGTACCAAGGGATTAAACAAGGCAGGTGTGACAAATTCCGAGGTGTGGTGAAGCAGGCCCTGTCAGGCCCTTGGTAAGCTGGTCTCTTATCACTCAGTTCGCACTACTGTCATATAAGAATTTACAGATGACATTGCTAGATCCTTTAGTTTTTAAAAAGAGGAAATTTGGATTTATTTGTAAAATCTCTCAATTTTTAAGCATTGACATTTGTTTCTAAAATTGATACATTAATTTGTATGCCAAATAAACATATTCAAAAGTCAGGATTGACTTTTGGGATATTACTTTGCAATTGCTACTCCTGTCTCCCCAAGTGGGTTTCAACAGCTAGTAACTAGGTGACTTGGGCGCAAGATCTTTAACTTTCTGGAACTTTCTTTCTTTCCTTTTTTTTTTTTTTTTTAAGATTTTTGTGTTTTAACTTTTCTTAGTTTTTGCTATAGGTTGTGTGCACTCTCCAGAAAGAGAGAGAGAGAAAGGAAAAGTGAGAAATTACTTCCCAGGGAGGATAGCCATGCAACAATCCTTTCTCTTCTTTTCCTCTCTTTGGAGTTGGCATGCATACAAATGTGCCCTACTTTTTTTTTTTTGCCATAGGGCACATGCGCTCACCAGAGGCAGTGAGAGGAAAAGTGAGGAATCACTCCCTAGAGGGGATGGCCACACTACAATCCCTTATCTTCTACTCTCCTCCTGGGATCTTGAGCACACAGGCACACAATGCCCAGTGTGGTTTTCAAGCCACCAAGTCTGGGACTCAAACTGTGTTGTCCATGTGAGAGTCCAGCACCTTAACCACTACACTACCTACTCACCTCATCCTATGTGTTTTTTAAGTCACGAGGTTTAGGACTCAAACTATGCAGTTGGTCATGTGGTATCCAGCCGCCCTAACCACAATGCCACTCACTAGCTGGCCCATCCTGCAACTTCCTTACAGATGAGTTTTTTCAATTGTCAAATAAGGATAGTAATATTATTTAATTTTTAAAAAATTCTGCAAGTATGCTTACAGTAAATGTTCAAAACACAGTAATTATAATAATTTGTTAATTATTATAAAGTCAACTGTTTCCAAACCATATTCTTTGGGAGGAAAGAAACTCCTGAAATGCAGAAAGGTAAGATCTGAAAATGATCCAAGATGGACCAGTCATGCTGATGGCTCCTGTAGTAACCACAGACAGCAGATCCTGGAATTGTGTAAACTGAGTAAAGTCCTCACTTTGCCAACAATCATACACTTTCCTGAAGATGCCGTTACATGATATGTAACTACGAATATAAATAGCAGTGTTTTACTGCATTGAAACTGGTCATTGTTCATTTTTTAAAAAACCTATAGATCCTATTTTGTCTAAGACATTTTCAAAGTATAAAATATTAATGAGACTTTTTAACTAATTAGAGGATATTTTAGAAGTTTATTTATTTACTTCATCCGTAAGTGAGTGAGAGAATTCCTATGCGACTATTAACCCTCAGCCTTCAGTCTGACATAGATCATGGGCGGGCTAGTGTCTGGCATACTCAGTGCGGTCTCAGGACTCGAACTGGGAACCTTTTCTTGTGGGTTTGCCTTGCAATTGAGTTTTACCACTGTGCCACCATCTGGCCCCTCATTAGAGCTGTGTGAGGAGACTATATTTCTTTTTATGGAAATAAAAGGAACCTTGTTTATATGACTGCCATGCAAAGGATAATTTTCCTTCACATAGAAAACTTAAAACTAGTTCAGAAATTAAGTTAATTAATAAAAATTATCTTCCCTTTTTTTTTTTTTTTTTTTTTAGAGGTTTTTCCTATAGGGCACGTACGCTTGCCAGAAAAACAGAGAGACAGAAAGCGAGAAATCACCCCCCAGGGAGGATGCCCACGCAATCCTTTCTCCTCCATTCTCCTCTCGGGATCTTGGGCATGCACGACACATGCCCAGTGTGAGTTTAAGCCACCAAGTCCGGGACTCAAACCACAGTGGACTACATGGGAGTCCAGCAACATAGCCATTATACTCAATGCTGGTCTCAAGGTTATCTGCTTTAACTAGAATCTCTTGAGTTAGAGGGCTGAAGTAACTTCCTGGATCTTATGTGGCTATAAGCACACAACCTCTTAGTGCTACTGCATCTGCAAAATGATAGGACCTACCACCTTCATTCTTTTAAGTAATTGGACTTGTATATCAGTGAATAACCAATCTCGGTTTCCCCCAAATAGAATGATTCCCTATATGAAAATATATAAACTTCAAGGGCGTGAAATAATATCTCTTGAGTTATATGATATCTTTCTCATAACACGCTTAGGTGATTTTCATATATTATCATCCCCTCCAAGGAACAGAGAATTTGCCTTATATATATAATAAAATGCTTTACAAAGAAATGTTTTATTTCATGTTTAGCATTTCCCAATCCTCACTAACTTCCCTAGGAATGTCCCTGGCAAAAGTGGTTGCTGTTCTAGTATTTTCAAAATAAACAGCTTCAGTAGCCCCACCCAGTGTGGATTCTGGTGACAGAAGTGGCCTTGCCTCCTGTTTCCTAGATATAAGAAAAAAACTGTTATCATACCTGGGAGAAAGTAATTATCGTATTTATATTCCTTCTTGCGGTGCCTTCTCATCCCAAGGGCAAGGGGAATGAAATTCAACCTGGATTTATAATCATCTTTTTCTTCCTGTGGCCTATATTTCAAAATAAGTAAATCAGTCAGAGAAAAATTTGCTAACTGGAAAACCGAATCCAACCACTTAGAAAATACACATTAAGCTTTTCCTTTTGGTGCTATATGTTCTTTTTCTCTCTGTCGCTGAGGACTCCAGCTGTCAGGTAGGAACCCCTTTCAGCTTCTAAGTCTTAGTCTCAATATGTATCTGTGAATGGAAAAGTGAGTACATTCTTCTTAAGACCAAACACTCCTGGCTTTCCGAGCACAAATGTGAGTGAGGAATTGAAAGAAGCACTCTCAGTCTGACAGTAGTTGTCTGAGTAGCACAGGGTGTTGGCCTGGAGGTTCTGTGAGAAGTTATGGAAGGAAGACCAGGCTGGACTCAGAAAAATTCATTGTTGCTTAAGAAAAAGGCTGAGAGGAAGTGGTCTGCATTCCACAAGAGAAAGTCACCAGTTGGTGGCCCGGAGCTACTGTTTTGCCAGCCTCAGGGGCTCTGATTGGGGATGGTTTTCAATCGCATGCACTGACTTTCAAGCCCATTCTCCCAGGTCCCTTTTTACCTGCTGCTTGGTTTTTGCCTGGAAAAGCAGAATTGCAGAGTGTATTTTTGGAAGATGGTACATTCTTAGCTAGCAGAGAATCTGTTTCAGATAGAAGTCATGGGCTTCCGTTCTGGTAGAATGCCCATCCACCCCAAACCTCCCACCTTCAGGAATATCATTGCTTATCTTTGAGAGGCATTTCAGGAAACACAGGGAATTGAGGGAGCTGGGTGTCACTAGTCACTGATTCTGAAGAACTTGCAAAATGTGAAGAGCTTCTTTTAGATCCTGGCAAATTATCCAAGAGCTAAGGTGGGCTCAGCATATGTGTAATATTCCCCACAGTTTTGATAGTTTGCTTCAGTTCATTGAGCTTGGAGCACTGATACCAGCACTACAAGGATGCAGGTACAGCCCGTGCCTCAAATATTCTACATATGGACTTGCCATATGCATTTATTATACGGACCCAGGGAGGGATCGTGACACGGTGCACCGTCAGGCCTTCCCAGGGTGAACACAGTGCATTAGAGTGGGTGATGATCATTTGAGAGATGCTGTCTTCATGTGACTTATGAAATAAAAAGAAACTCCTAAAAGTATCCAGAGTTACATTTTTGTGCAAAAAAAAAAAAATGATCTAGAAACATAGCTGGTAACCACTTTGGTCATCTAAAGGATCTAACCTCTAAATACATGGGTTTCCCCTGAGATATTTCTGTGTGTGATCATCTGTTTACTCTTTCTACTGCAAATCCCATAGTTCAGCTGGGTTTTGTATTACTGTGTTTTGTTGTTGTTGTTGTTTTGTTTTTTAATGTGATTTTGTAAACAAATGGAGTGTCTCTTTGATATCCTCATATAGATCACACCAAAGTAGCCCTCTCCCCAGTTTGGTTAAGGCTTTCCTGTTTGGTAGTATGACTCTTAATTTCTGCTTCATTAAAAGCAGGGGACAACCCAAGAGAAGGAGGAGAGCGATGTGGGTCTGGCAGCCACTCAGAGCCCCGGTGTCCAGGAATGGCTGGCTCAAGCTCGTACCACGTGGACCCACCAGAGGCAGAGCAGTCTCCAGCAACAAAAAGTAAAGTGTTTCCTACCTCTCCTTTGCCTGCAGACCTGCCACAGAAAGAACCTGAGAGAATTGTTACAGAAGGACAAGTTGCTTCTGGACTAGAGACAGTGTCCCTTTATCTGTCTTCTCTTTGAATGAAGCAAGTCGTGGTTGTTTCAGTATACTTACGATGGCCGGACTGATTGGTCATCTTAAAGCTCAATTTTTAAGCCAAGTTCAGGTTTTGTTTACAAATAGCGTGACTCAACTATAATCTGCTTTATCACGGTTACCTTGTCACTTCAGAGTCACCATCCTTTGAGTCTATTTAATTATAGTAAAAATCTCAGGAAGGCCTCTGAGAATTAGTGAAAGTCTAACTTACACGTCTTTTTAAAATGTATGTGATTTGTTTTTCACTTTCCAATAGAGGCCATCATAGCACAAGATTGCAAATGGTTGCTAGACGGCTAAGAGTGATTTCTCATCGATACCTTAACTTTATGTAAAGCGTATATTAAAATAGTTGTATATTCTCAAAGAACAAAAGCATTTATGACAAGTAATAAAAAAGGAAAGTGAAATCCATTTTATCAAGTAAGTAAAGAATTAAACAGACCTGCTACTTTCATGGATCTAGCTATCCTAGCTAGCACAAGACAATAGGCGTTTTGAAAAGTGAAAGTGTATTCAGTGCCACTTGAGGGCACCATTGCCCAGCAGAAATTTGTTTTTCCATTGATTTTTTTTTTCTAGGATTTTCAAATACATCTTTTATCAAAGCAAAATAAAAACTATCCTTTGAAGACACATTTGAGTATTTGCCTAAGCCATTTCTTTGATGCAGTGTGCAAACTTAAAAACCCGCTTCCAAAGTTCTTTGAGGAATTTCTTAACTTTGAACCATGATTGTAGGCAGTAGTCAGAAAGTGACTAAGACATTTGCATTCTCCTTTCTCTCCAGCAGGAGTTAGAACAAGAGTTAGCAGAGCAGAAGAGCCTCCTCCGCTCAGTAGCTAGTCGTGGAGAGGAGATTCTAACCCAGCACTCAGCGGCAGAGACCTCCGTCCCACTTGGGTACGTTTCGAAACACTAACTTTCTCTTCTCTTCAGTGCGCTTTCTTGACATTTGAAGATATGTAAACATCTTACTCAAAATTATATCTTAAACATTGTCTGCAAAATTGGGTCATTTTGTTTTCACTTCAGGATATGTCATGGACCTGCATTTTGAACGTTCTGTTGCCTTGCGTGAACATCACTAGTCAATGGCTAGCTTCTTTTTCTCCTTCCAGTATGTTCAGCTTATCTGGCCAGAGGGTCAGGCGTTCATTTTTCTAATCATATAAGAAATGCATTATAAAATTGGATCATGATCCTTCTAACTGAATGATTATATCTAATTGCAGAGCATCATGCCTGTAAAAACTTATCTTCCTCTAACATCATTCTCACTGAATGTCTATTTTTGTCATTTTTACAAGTAAAGTCATTGAACTTGGAGTCCTGGTTTGTAGTAGAGATTTGAAATTATTATATACAATAAACTAAATGTTAAGAGAAAAATTAAGGAAGTTAGGGAATTTTCTTTTTCTGAATTGTTTATTTAATTTTATTATTATTATTATTATTACTATTTTATAATTCATTAGAGGACTCATGCACTCACCAGAGGGGTGAGGGAGAGATTGAGGGAAAGTGAGAAAGCAGGTTGCCAAGCCCAGGACTCAAACTGCAATCAGCTATGTGGGAGTCTAACACCTTAACCAAATGCTGACCCACAGAATTTTCAGGTTGAGAATTTTGATTTAAAAGGTAGGAAGGTAAAGAAATTTTAACCTTAGTGGAAGGATTCCCATAAACTTATTCAGATCTAAGTTCTTTTCCAGTTCTATAGCTATTAACTTGGAAAAGTAATTCTCTACTCACCTATGGAATTAGAAGAATAATTGACTACTGTCATTACAGAATTATTGTGGAAATTGTGATTGTCAGCTGAGAGGATATATATGGAGATTTTCTTTTTAGAACTATTTAATTTTGTTTATTTATTTATTTATTTGTAATTTGACCAGAGAGAGACAGAAAGTGAAAAAGGAAGCCACCAGGTCTGAGACTCAAACCATGGTCGGGCATGTAGGTGTCCAACATGCCAACCACCATGCCATCCACAGGCTCAAGGAAGATTTTCTTTGAAATCAAGAACATTTTTTAGACAGTCTCAGTGAAACCTCTCTGAAAGTCTAACTTACACGTCTTTTTAAAATGTATGTGATTTGTTTTTCACTTTCCAATAGAGGCCATCATAGCACAAGATTGCAAATGGTTGCTAGACGGCTAAGAGTGATTTCTCATCGATACCTTAACTTTATGTAAAGCGTATATTAAAATAGTTGTATATTCTCAAAGAACAAAAGCATTTATGACAAGTAATAAAAAAGGAAAGTGAAATCCATTTTATCAAGTAAGTAAAGAATTAAACAGACCTGCTACTTTCATGGATCTAGCTATCCTAGCTAGCACAAGACAATAGGCGTTTTGAAAAGTGAAAGTGTATTCAGTGCCACTTGAGGGCACCATTGCCCAGCAGAAATTTGTTTTTCCATTGATTTTTTTTTTCTAGGATTTTCAAATACATCTTTTATCAAAGCAAAATAAAAACTATCCTTTGAAGACACATTTGAGTATTTGCCTAAGCCATTTCTTTGATGCAGTGTGCAAACTTAAAAACCCGCTTCCAAAGTTCTTTGAGGAATTTCTTAACTTTGAACCATGATTGTAGGCAGTAGTCAGAAAGTGACTAAGACATTTGCATTCTCCTTTCTCTCCAGCAGGAGTTAGAACAAGAGTTAGCAGAGCAGAAGAGCCTCCTCCGCTCAGTAGCTAGTCGTGGAGAGGAGATTCTAACCCAGCACTCAGCGGCAGAGACCTCCGTCCCACTTGGGTACGTTTCGAAACACTAACTTTCTCTTCTCTTCAGTGCGCTTTCTTGACATTTGAAGATATGTAAACATCTTACTCAAAATTATATCTTAAACATTGTCTGCAAAATTGGGTCATTTTGTTTTCACTTCAGGATATGTCATGGACCTGCATTTTGAACGTTCTGTTGCCTTGCGTGAACATCACTAGTCAATGGCTAGCTTCTTTTTCTCCTTCCAGTATGTTCAGCTTATCTGGCCAGAGGGTCAGGCGTTCATTTTTCTAATCATATAAGAAATGCATTATAAAATTGGATCATGATCCTTCTAACTGAATGATTATATCTAATTGCAGAGCATCATGCCTGTAAAAACTTATCTTCCTCTAACATCATTCTCACTGAATGTCTATTTTTGTCATTTTTACAAGTAAAGTCATTGAACTTGGAGTCCTGGTTTGTAGTAGAGATTTGAAATTATTATATACAATAAACTAAATGTTAAGAGAAAAATTAAGGAAGTTAGGGAATTTTCTTTTTCTGAATTGTTTATTTAATTTTATTATTATTATTATTATTACTATTTTATAATTCATTAGAGGACTCATGCACTCACCAGAGGGGTGAGGGAGAGATTGAGGGAAAGTGAGAAAGCAGGTTGCCAAGCCCAGGACTCAAACTGCAATCAGCTATGTGGGAGTCTAACACCTTAACCAAATGCTGACCCACAGAATTTTCAGGTTGAGAATTTTGATTTAAAAGGTAGGAAGGTAAAGAAATTTTAACCTTAGTGGAAGGATTCCCATAAACTTATTCAGATCTAAGTTCTTTTCCAGTTCTATAGCTATTAACTTGGAAAAGTAATTCTCTACTCACCTATGGAATTAGAAGAATAATTGACTACTGTCATTACAGAATTATTGTGGAAATTGTGATTGTCAGCTGAGAGGATATATATGGAGATTTTCTTTTCTTTTTTTTTTTAGAACTATTTAATTTTGTTTATTTATTTATTTATTTGTAATTTGACCAGAGAGAGACAGAAAGTGAAAAAGGAAGCCACCAGGTCTGAGACTCAAACCATGGTCGGGCATGTAGGTGTCCAACATGCCAACCACCATGCCATCCACAGGCTCAAGGAAGATTTTCTTTGAAATCAAGAACATTTTTTAGACAGTCTCAGTGAAACCTCTCTATGTGCATGTATTGCTAAGAGTTATAATTTGGTAATTTTAATTTGGTAAATATCTTTTGGAAAATAGTTTTGAGTCTGTTTCCTATATTGGAACATTTTTTTCAGGGACAATAATCTAAAGAACGAAATATGGATTATGAAGATGATTTATGGAATATTATCTATAATACCAAATCATTAAAAGCAAAAATGCTTAGTAGTATAGACAATGTCCAGAATTTTATGCTCTGGAACCAGCAGTTAGCGTAATGGCTATGTCGCTGGACTCCCACATAGTCGACATTCACGTCCCGGACCCGGTGGCTTAAAACTCACACTGGGCATGTGTGCGTGCATGCCCAAGATCCCGAGAGGAGAATGGAGGAGAAGGGATTGCGGCATGACCTTCCCCCCTGGGGGGTGATTTCTCACTTTCTGTCTCTATGTCTCTCTCTGTCTGTCTGGTGAGCGCACACGCCCTATAGCGGAAACCTCTCCAAAAAAAAAAAAATTATGCTCATATGATCTTAACAAAAACTTGTAAAATATTTTAAAATGTGTGTATGATGCTAATTAAAATGTATGAAATTTAAAATGTAATATGTGTATGGAAAAGAACCAGAATAGAATGTAAATAACCAAAGCTAACTTTAGAGAGGGGACATGGGGGGATTTTTTATTTTAATTGTGTACTTTAATCAATGCTGCCGTAATCTTGTTGACATATGACATTAGTTATATGTGTGTGTGTGTGTTAACTTCAAGGGCAAATGATAAGAAAAAGCTAAAGTGCAATTGACATATTATGACAAAATATTTAGGAAATAGGAAGGCATTCAAAAACAGAAAGAAAGGGCCAGCAGGTAGCATGGTAGCTGAAGTACTAGATCCCGCATGGCCAATACCCTAGTTCCAGTCCTGGCACAGCACTTAAAAACACACTGAACACATGTACATGTGTGCCCCAAATCCCAAGAGAATGGGAAAGAAGGGACTGTGTCATGGCTATACCCCCAGGGGGTGATTTCTCAATTTCCTCTCTCTGTCTCTCTCTGTCAGTCACATGTACCCTATGGCAAAACCTAAAAACAAAAAACAAACAAAGAAAAACAAAGTAAAAAACTAAAATTATTGATATTACTAATAATATATATAATATAATAATAAATATTACTAATAATATATATAATATAATAATATATAAAATGTAACATAGGAATAAATACTATTATAATATTGATAGCAACAGATTTTATTTAAATAATGCTAAAAGTATAAAAATTGAAAGATTAAAAGTGTTTAAATAAGCTCTGTTATTTATCATGTTTAAAATGTAGATAAGGGCATTACTGTGTGTGCCTACAGTAAGCCCTAAATGAGCACCCTTGCTGTTTTTGTGATGACTGAGTTGAGACCAGTCATCATTTTGCATTTCTGCCTGTTTTTAGTCCTTTCGAGATGCTTACTTACCCTCATAATTTCCTGAATATTTTTGCCACACTCTATTTTTACAAATAATCCACCATGTACTATTTTCTCATCACACACAGATCCATAGCAATCTTTTGCAACTTACTTGCAATGATTGTTTTTTTCTTTCAATTGCCTTTAGCTCTGGAGAAGACCCAGATGACAAACTATGAACTACTCTTTCAAATATAAAAGTATTTTAAAAAGAAATTTGGAGCTTTTCACAGTGGCAGTATCATAGCCAATGAGGTTTATCCGAGGCGCGATTATTGCTAATTGAAAAGAAATTTGGAGTGCAATTGCTATTCTGTACAAGATTCATCTTAAAGACAACTTTTTTTCTAGAAGTTGAGTCCCTTTATCATAGCTTTGTAAAAAGGTTAAGGCTTGCTTCAAGAACATTATCCTGCAGAGGTTTTTGCTATAGGGTGTGTGCACTCACCAAAATGACAGAGAGACAGAAAGTGAGAAATCACCTCCCAGGGGGGGATGGCCACATCGCAATCCCTTCTCCTCCATTCTCCTCTCGGGATCTTGGGCACGCACACACACACATGCCTGGCGTGAGTTTAAGCCACCAGGTCCGGGACTCAAACCACAATCGACCACATAGGAGTCCAGCAACATACCCATTACGCTAACTGCCAGTTCCTCAAGAGCATTATCTAAAGACATTATTGTATGGACACTTACTCCATGGAGAGTTGGCTGTGGGGTAGTATACAGCATTATCTAATGTTTGTTTGTTTGTTTTTTCCCCCTTGAGTGAAAGACCGTGGGTCCAAACACGGCTATCTAATGTGCCTTTTAGGTAACATGATTCTTGTTAGGACCTCAAATCTCCTAACACAATAAGATCTATTGGAACTTAGGTTTCTCTCAGCTGTTACTGTTCCTATCGTCCTTATTAGTGGTCCCTATTGATTGAGCAGCCGTATTAGCCAGCAAGGGCTGTAATGTCACACAAATATTCTCTTACTTTAATTCTCATAATTCGTTAAGGTACATACTGCCTTCCCTTTAAAGATGAGAAAGTTGAGGTGCAGAGGTGACAGATGGCCTGATGTCATGCACGTAGTGTATGAGAGCACGGGTTCTGGTCCAGAGTTTCCTTACTCTGCAAGCCATACTCTTTCTCGGAATTCACTCTATTGCCTGTCTCCAAGGGAGACTCCTCACTGCCTTTCCCCAAGTTCTGGACTGCCTTTTCCCATGTCCTACGTTTTCTCTGGGCTCGTAAAATTTCTCAGTAGCTAAGTTTTAGGTCTTTATAGGCTCTGTGTCAAAGGATATAATTTGTGGTCATACTATACTTTCTGATTCTAAATATTACAATTATTTTTACTTAGTACTGAGCTGTTATAAATATATAGTCTGGTATTCATTTTCCTCAGGGTTTAATTGTAATATGACTAAGAATATACTTGTTTTATGCTTAGTGTCAAAATTTTCATTTTAGTTTATATTTTTAAAGTGTAAACTAGTGACTAAAATAATCTCATACCAACTTCTGAGGCTTGGTCTAATACGTAGTGACTTACTGATCTCGTCACTTTTTTGCACACGTTGTAAACTTAGATTATTTATTCTTCTAATAGCGAAAAACCTGATGTGTTATCCCAGGAGTTGGGGAAGGAAGGGGAGAAATCATCCACTGAGGACCAGATGAGAATGAAATGGGAAAGCCTACATCAAGAATTTAGTACCAAGCAGAAACTACTGCAGGACGTTCTGGAACAGGAGCAAGAACAAGTGGTATCAAATATTTTGCTTTTATAGATTAATTAGTCAAAATGATGCATAGTTTATGCTGAGGGAATGTAACTGTGTTATAATCTATATTTTCATTGTAAACCCTATACTAAGACATAAAACAGTTATTCATTCTACATGTTTCTTTCGTATCTTCTAAAATTTTTGCCAGAGGGCATGTACACTTGCTGGAGAGAGATCAACTGAACGAAAATTAGAAAGCATCTCCGTTGGGGGATGGTCATGCTGCAATCCCTTCTCCACTTCTCCCTCCTATTAGAAGTTTGGGCATGTGTGCACGTATGCCTACCATGTTTTCAAGCCTCTGGGTCCCGGAGTTGAACTGCATGGTTGATCAGGTGGGATCCATCCTCCTTAACCACTAGGCCACATTCTGGCCCTGCCCTGTTTTTCTTAACCAAACTTCACATTCTCCTTAATAATGATATATTGACATATGAAAATTAATTTTATTTCTAGACAGTGTATTTCTCTCAAAGATAATCCATATATTATTTTATATTAGCATAAGCCATTCAATTTTAAACGCCCTGATTTTTTATTTGTAACCTTGAAAAATATGGATATAAATCAAAGATATACACACATCCAGGACAGAAGGAATTCCACAAATCTGGAACTAAATTGTCAGGTCATCTTATTTTCCATTGCTACTTCCAGTTTTTAGTAATTTCAAGAGATCTTAATGAGGAACATATTGGGACCTGGGTGGGACTAGAGGGAAGAGAAGCCAGGGGTCAGCTAGAGTGAGTCCTAACCCTCTGGAAGGCTGGTCCTGACCCTCTGGAAGGCTGGTCCTAAGATGCATGCTGTGTGGTGCTGGGCTTGGTTCCACCAAGCATGCCAAATCCAAGGTAACTGAATAAAGCAGCAGAAAGCCCAGGTAAATAATGGCTATTGGTTTGGCCTAAGCAGAAGCCAGGGAGCAACTGGAAGTCAGTGGAGTTGGAGTTTAGAAAGCTAATGAGAGAACCAGGAAGCCAAGCACTCCCGGGAAGCCATCTGGGATGCCTACCATGGCTATGGCCCAGAAGGATTTTGAAGATAGATGCTTTAGTCCTGCATCCTGGGCCAGCAACCTCAGCCTGGCTCATTGAAGGACAGTGGTATTATTAGAGTAAATTCTAGAACCTTTGCTGATGGTCTAAGGAAGCCGCTGTTCTCACTGCTCTGATCAGGAATAGTTTAGGTGCTGGGAAAGGCTGAACCCAAAAACAAAAGATGGCAATTATGTTGGTGTATCAGAGGACCGTAAGGCAGGAGCTGACAAAGCAGGCACCATACAGCAGGTACAACTTGCCAAGATTAATTGGAAGGTGATGCTTCAAAGGGCATAATGTGTTTCCTTGTCTCTGGGCATCCAAGCATGTCTGTCCAGAGCAATGTGTTTCTGTCCCATTCTACACAGTCACATGATGGGCCACACTGTTTGTCCGCTCACTCTCCTTCTTGCCCAGGAAACTTGTTCACCATCATCTGTAGGAATGGTCACTAGTCTGACCTTGGATAATAGAAAGGCCTATGTTTATATCCCAGTACTCCAGAATTGTATTCTGTCTTGACAAATGGTGCCTATACTTTTAGCATGAACCTCATACCCATGATCAACATCTGGCACGCCCGATCAGATATCTCTCAGGCACATAGCTGGAATTTGCAATTTCTGGTGGAGACTGTCTGGATTTGACTGCCAACTCACCTTCCTGTTTCATTATTCCCCCAGTCCTCTGAATACAAGGGGTATGTGCTATCCTGAAGCAGGAACTGCACTCTTTTCTGACTGTGCAGAGTTAAGTAAGTCCAGAACATTTCGGAATGGCACACTTCCTTATCCCACGCTTGCTTATTATTCTCCATTCATTAGCTATCCAACCCCAGGGTCTCTCCTGATATCCACCTGCCTTGAAGCACCTGTGTAGTTCCCCAGCATCTGCAGCTGTCCTGGAGGGCTCATCCATTACTTGCTTTACCTTGGACAGCTGCTGTTTTGCCTCAGTGCTGGCACCCAGCTCCTCCGTGTTGGCTTTACAGAACAGGCCTTATCCTGCTGACACTGACATTTCCCATGATACCTGGACTATTAGAGTTAGGTTCATGATCATATCTTACTTGCCTTTGGGGTCAGACTTCTCATGTTCTTTCCTTTATTATTTTTTTTTCCCAAGAAAATGTAAGGAAGATTCTTCCCCTCTCTCGAAGTCCCCAAGAAGAAAGGGAGTGATCATTTAATGAATGTATTTTAACTAGGTTTTAACATATCTAGCAATTCTATAGTAAGATTTCCACTTCGAAGCCCTGAAACTGAGACTTGGAGATCATGATCATATCTTACTTGCCTTTGGGGTCAGAAGCAGAAAACTTCTAATTTTCTTTCCTTTATTTTTTTTTTCATGATCATATCTTACTTGCCTTTGGGGTCAGACTTCTCATGTTCTTTCCTTTATTATTTTTTTTTCCCAAGAAAATGTAAGGAAGATTCTTCCCCTCTCTCGAAGTCCCCAAGAAGAAAGGGAGTGATCATTTAATGAATGTATTTTAACTAGGTTTTAACATATCTAGCAATTCTATAGTAAGATTTCCACTTCGAAGCCCTGAAACTGAGACTTGGAGAGATTGTGTATCTTCTTGAGGTGCTGGGACTAAGAAGAGGCAGAGCTAGACCTGGCATATGTTGGGTTATAGGAAAAGTCATGATGCATTTTTGCATAGAGAAATAGGAAAATTTTTTCAACAACCCAATAAATCTGTCTGATTCCCAAGTCCCTCCTCTTCTCTACTACCTTACTGGCAATTTTGTACACTGGATATATTTCCATTAGGTGTAAAAACAGGCACTTTTTGGAGGCCCAAAGTTCACTAGGTTAAAGGGCATTAATGTCTCAGTAATTCTCTTCCACTCTGTGCGGGACACCATATGTGACTTCAAGGTGAGATAGCTCCTGCTTCCAAGAACCTATAACCCAATCAAAGAATCTTTCTATTTCTGAAAAATTAAGAAACTGTGATAGGCTCATATGCAGGAATTTGAAGGAAACAGAGATTCTGTTTTTTAAAAAGGGGGAAATCCACTGTAGTAGTTGTGGAATTTAAGGTAATAGATTTTAAACAGGTTTTGGGTGGTGGACATTACAGCTACAGTAGGGAACTGTCCTGGCATATTTATAGGATAATGAGTAATCAGCCTGAAAGGTGAGGATAAAGTGTTTGAAAAAATTGCAGGAGACAGAGTTGATTGGAAACATCATCAAAGCATGGCCCTTATCAGGGAGCCGCTAGGTACACGGGTACACCGAGGAGCGTTTAGGGAGATAAGGATGGCAATGAAAGCCACATGTTCAGTCTGAATCTGGTTTTTAGGATGGATTTTTCACTATGGAAAGTACTAAAACCAAGAGAAGTTAAAGGAAAGGCTATAAGATTTCAGACATTTTCCCACCATCTCTCTTGTTTTGCTGTTTTTTTAATCTGTGGGAGGCATCATTACCATTACTGAATTTAGCCACTATAATCAATGGACATGCTATGCTGTAAAGGGCATATTTCTCAAGAATAGGATTTTATAAGTGCAGTATTTATTTATTTATTTATTTATTTATTTATTTTTAGAGATTTTTGCTCTAGGGCGTGTGTTCCTGCCAGAGGGACAGAGACATAGAAAGTGAGAAATCCCCCTCCCCCATGGGGCGATGTCCATACTACAATCCCTTCTCCTCCCCTCTCGGGATTTTGGGCATGCACATGCCAGCATGAGTATCAAGCCACTGGGTCTAGGACTTGAATTATGGTCAGCCATGTGGGAGTCCAGTGCATTCACCACTATGCCACATGCTGGCCCAAGTGCAGTGTTTTCAACATTTACTTCAGGGTGCGCTTCTGAATGAGAAAACTGAGGCATAGTACTACGTTCCTAAGCCGTCCTCGTTTGCCCACAGCTTTACAGCAGGCCCAACCGTCTCCTGTCTGGTGTGCCACTCTACAAAGGGGATGGGCAGACCCAAGATAAATCCACAGTCACGTCTCTTCTGGATGGACTGAACCAGGCCTTTGAGGAGGTATCATCCCAGGTGGGTTGCGTTGGTTTGTGTTAGTCTGCTTGGACTTGGTGAAGTTGCTCTGTTCTGTGAACCGGTGGGACCCTACACTGTTGCTGAGCCCTGAAATCAAGACGCAAGACTGCATGTTTGTATCTAGGGACTTTCCTGGGTACACCAGAAACGTGCATGCCCATGACCTGGAACTGGCTGAAGCTGGTGGTAGATGACATCAAGACCTTGTTGATGGTGCTGTCTCCCTGTCTCTGTGTTCTCTCTGTCTGCCTAGATAATGGGAAAAATTAATAAATAAACTTTAAATGAAAAAGAAAGAAGGAAGGAAGGAAAGAACCAGTAAACACTGAGTCACATCTAGGGATGTCTCCCTGATTCCTACAAACTTTGTAGTTAATTCTTTGTCCCTTGTTTGGTGTGTCTTTGTTTTCCAGGGTGGAGGGACAAAGAGGCCGAATATACACTTGGAACAGAAGTTGTATGATGGGGTCTCAGCCACCTCTACTTGGTTGGATGACGTTGAAGAACGTTTATTTGTTGCCACAGCACTGTTACCAGAAGAAACAGAAACTTGTCTCTTTAACCAAGAGGTAGGTTTGGCAGTTTTGGTCTGTACATCTGTGTTATTATAAGACACTTGAAAATTTGATGTTGAGGGACCAGTAGTTAGTGTAATGGCTATGTCGCTGGACTCCCATGTAGTCGACCGCAGTTCGCGTCCTGGACCCAGTAGCTTAAAACTCACCCCGGGCTCGTGTGCATGCGTGCCCAAGATCCCAAGAGTAGAATGGAGGAGAGGGGACTGCAGCATGGCCATCCCCCCTTGGGGGGGTGATTCCTCGCTTTCTGTCTCTCTGTCTCTCTGTGTCTTTCTGGCTAGCGCATGCGCCCTATAGCAAAAACTTCTCCAAAAAAAAATTTTTTTTTATGTTGAATCATTAATTTTCTGTAAAAAGAAAGTCAATCCTTAAAAAAATTTTAATAAAATACAATTTATGTATATCTCCAAGCAGCATAATCATAATACAGAACAGAATTGCTTAAGTACAAAAAGTTTTCAAAGATATTTATGTTTTGTGATTTTTTGTTTTTGTTTTTATTTTGCCATGGGATGCATGCACTCACCTGAGAGAGAGACAGAGAGAAACAGAGAGAGGGAAAGTGAGAAATAATCCCCCAGGGGGACAACCATGCTGTAATCCCTTTTCCTTCATTCCTCTCTTGAGATTTGGGCATCATGCTCTCAAGCCCAACATGACTTTCAAGCCGCTGAGTCCAGGACTCAAAACACGGTTGACCATGTGGGAGTACAACACCTCAACCACCATGCCACCTGCTGGCCTCTTGTGTTGTTATTCTTTATCTAGTGTGTGTAGCAAGGGGAAACGAATACAGAACTGTTTGAAAAAATACCATGATAGATCATAAATTCTGTGAAATATGGGCTGCAAAATAACATTCAGAATACCTAAATAGCACTTTACAAAATTCATTTTACTTTACAAAATTCAACATATATTATTATTAGCTAATGATGTGCACTCCAAAAAACAAAAAACAAAAACCAAAACAAACAGAAAATTCCTCTTCTCTTCTTGCCTTAAAGTCTATAGAAGTATATGAAAGAAGAGGTTCAACTTGCTTTAATTATTATAGTCTATGGTATTGTAATAGTTACAATATTGTTGTTATTAGTAAGGAGTAACAGTGATTTAGGGGCCAGCAGGTGGCATGACGGTTAAGGCACTGGACACTCCCACATGGCTGACCATGGTTCGAGTCCTGGACCTGGTGGCTTGCTTTCTCACTTCCTCTCTGTTTTTCTCTCTCTCTCTCTCTCCCTCATCTCTCTGGTCAAATTAAAATGATGAATGAATAAATAAAATGAAATAAACTATTAAAAACACAAAGTAAAAATAAAAATAAAAACAGTGATTTAATGGTCTTACTGAAAGGCAATGACTGATTTGCATAGTGGTATATGGATCTAAATATTGAAATGGCATTTCTCTCTTATCAACCTAGACTCTTGCCAAAGACATTAAAGAAATGTCTGAAGAAATGGATAAGAACAAGAATTTGTTTTCACAAGCTTTTCCAGAGAATGGAGATAATCGGGATGTCATTGAAGATACACTAGGTTGTCTTTTGGGGAGGTTATCCTTGTTAGATTCAGTAGTGAATCAGCGATGTCATCAGATGAAGGATAGACTTCAGCAAATACTGAATTTCCAGGTAAGCCCTTATCAAAAGAATTCTCTGGACATATCTAACAATAATCAACAAGGTTCTTTATTGGGATATGATATAAATACATTTCTTTTTTTTCCAAATGTACAATGAAGAGCAAGAACATTGCAGAAAATCTAGGCATGAAGTAAAGTTACAAAAATGAAAAGTTTCATGCTCTTAAACGTGGAAGGTTGAAAAAACCACCCAATCAAACTAAGGGCTGATTAGAACTTTATGTTCAATCACTGAAAGTCAAATTTATGGGTCATTATAATTATAACTTGCAGGTGGTAATAACTGAGTTTTAAAAAGTTACGAAAAGAACATGCAGGAAGTGGTAGAATACAGAAAGAACCCTAGATCCACTACTTGAGACTTTGAAGTGCCTGTGGCCTAATTTCTTCGACCTATGTTATATTATTTTCCAATCCTAACTCCTCAAACTTATTGCTTTTTAGCCCCATATTAGAATTCTATTGCTGATTAAACATTTTCCTGTGACTATAGGAATTCTATTACTTGTGAACATTTTCCTGTGTCTATACACTGAAACAAATGCAACAGCTGCTGATGAACCTTTAGTGTTGACTTTTCATTCCTAATGAAAGGCACCCTTTGATTATACTCAAGTTTTAATTGAATATTAGTTTCAACAAACATGAAAGTTTTACAAAATAGATAAGTTTAATTAGAGCCAAGAGTTTAATAAAAAGTTTTGATTTGGACAAAAATACTTCAGGATGTCAAATAAATGTATTGTTAATAAAGAAGTACAGAGTTTTCTAGATATTCATCTGGAGGGGCAAATTACCACTAGTAGTCTGCATTCCTAAAACTGCAGTGTCAAATTATCACAGACATCTGTGTTTTGTTTTTTTATTCACAAAAGTCCACATGTATCACTGTGGACTTCATGACATCTCCATTGGTTGTCATTCTATTGATACTAGTAACTTTGCAAAGTCAGAAGAGCAACTCTGATCCCAACACCCTTGGGTTCACATTCTGGCTTGTCACTTACTGACATATAAGCTAAGGTGCTTAACTTCTCTGAACCTCACTATCCTCAACTGTTAAATCACATCCACAGAATTGTATTTGTTATAGAGTGTTGTGAGGGTGAAATGAGTTAAAATGTGTAAAATACTTGAACAGCTCCTCTCACCTAGCAAGCACTCAGCAAGTTTTATTATTGTTTTCGCTATGGGTATTATAATAACTGTAGGATCAGAAACCAACAGAAAGGTTCAGTTAGTTTCTCAAGTTTATTTAACCATCAAGGACTAGATCCAAGACTGATTTAAAGAATATTTTTGTATTGTATAGTGTTAGAGGGATGGAGGAGATATGGAGAATAGTAGACCTACTCAAATTATACTTTGAAGGCAAGATGAATAGGGCAGCATTTGAGGAGAGCTTAGATATGCGGAAAGAAAGAAAGAGGGCCTGTTGAGGAACTCTAGAAACTTTGACTTTAGTATCTGGAGGTCACTGGCTGGCAGAGAGGACTGGTAGATAGCAGTGCCATTGACTGTGGGCAAGACCGAGCCACTGGTGATACCTCAGGCTGGGGCAGGATAAGGGACAGAATTTCAGATTCTCTGGTGAAAAGCCCCAATAGACATGCCAGTCTGTGTCTTGGATAAATGATCTGGACTGGATATTTGCATCCATATCTATTAGGTTGTATAGTACATATGGAGGAAACTTATTTGGGGGGGGTCATAAAAACAGTGGTTATTTGGATATTACAATTTAGATATACCATCCAATTGCATGTATGTCTATATACAAAATGTCTAAAATCAGCAAGACTGTTGTATAATTTATGAAACCTTATTTTATTACTCTAAAATTCCCTTTTACGAAGTAATACACTGAATTGTAACAGCATTCTGGTTTATCAGTCATGAGCGAGGTGGTTTAAAAGTTAAAATGTATATATCACTCAGTGGAATATTTTTCTTTTGCTAATTACATTTACTTTGTTAGTGTCCTGGTACTTTTAAATTGTTTTGATAATCATAACCAGTCCCCCCAAAATATGAACTAAACACAAATACCCTGGAACTCATTTTGGTAGGGGACTAAGAGAGAAATGTGTAAACATAGTATTCTCCCCCTTTTTTTTTTTTTAGGGGGGGCAGGTTTTTGCTATAGGGCATGTGCACTCGCCAGAAAAACAGAGACAGAGAGTAAGAAATCACTCACCAGGGGGGTGGCCTCGCCGCAATCCCTTCTCCTCTATTCTTCTCTTGGGATCTCCTCTCTGGATCTTTGGCATACACGCACACATGCCCAGCATGAGTTTAAGCCACCGGATCTGGGACTTGAACCATGGTTGACTACATGGGAGTCCAGGGACATAGCCATTATGCCAACTACTGGTCCCTAACTCTCTTTAAATTCAATTTTTCTTCTGCCCAGTTTTGACATGATAGTGGCCAGCTCACAAACAAATACTGATATTTCAAAATGTTTATGTTCCAGGTTAGTCGAGAGCCAAAGTGCTAACGTTAATGTAATTAAAGGTCAAGTCAAAAGCCATTTTATTTTACCTTGAACCAATCCCCTGCTGTGCTGTCCATGTTTGGTAGTTACTGGAGCGGCATGTCTTCAGTTTCCATTTAATCTTTGGTCGTAGCTTTTGCCAGATTTCTCATGTTGTTCTATACCCAAGGACTATCTGGAAGGATACGTGGATGTTATTTAGATGTACATTATGTATATGGCATTGCAACCAAGTTCGTCAACTATTTTGTATTTTTAAATGTTTATCCATACACTTGAACCTAAGTAAATTTCTTGAACATGTAATCGAGTGTTTTATCTTATTTTCAAAGTGGAAAGTGAGGGCCAGCAGGTCGAGATTAAGGCACTAGATCACATATAGCTAACTATGCAGTTTGAGTCCCAGACCTAGTAGCCTGAAAATCATGCCAGGCATATGTGCGTGTGTGCCCAGAATCTTGAGAGGAGAATGGAAGGGATTGCCATAACATAATCCCTGGGGGAGGGAGAGGGGTGCATTTCTCACTTCCCTTCTCTCTCTGTCTCATGCACATGCCCTATGGCGAAATCTAAAACAAAAAAAAAGGAAAATAAATGAAAAATATTTCAATAATTGAGGTGATACAGTGACTTTTAAGTGTAAAGCTTTCTACCAAGCTGTTTCTCAAATGACTAGAATCCTAACTAACCCCTTTTTATCCCATCAGTAATTCTGTGACTAAAAAAGAAAAACACTGTGTTATCTGTTACATATATATAATAGATAAATACCTTAATTACCCAGTTATGTCGCAATGTAGTAAAAATTTGGGGGGCCTTTCTATTTTGATTTTTGAGGAAATATCAAGATCATATGATTATTAGCACCTCTTTTATTTAGTGATTTTAAATCAATCATATTCTCTGCTTTACTGTCTTTTTGACTGGTCTTTCCCAATAACTAGTGTAACTTCCAGAAATGTAAACTTTCTTTTCTATGATCGTGAGTGGAATATAGTTAAGGAAGAAAGTCGATGTACATAAAATACATGGGTGCTCTTCATTTCTAGCCCATGATATGCTATTTTACATACCTACTCATGGATCTTAAATGAACCCATGTTGTTATAAATGTGGGGAGATAGTGGAGACTATCTTTTAATCTGTTCAAATGAATGAGAAACATTTTTTGCTATGTTTACAAACAGATAAAGGCATGATAGCTCTAACAGCCTCTGTGACCTCACCCTGAGCACAGTGCTGATACAAACATTACGTGTAAAACTCTGGTTTCTGGCTTCTTCCCTTAGAATGATCTGAAGGTGCTGTTTACATCACTGGCTGACAACAAATACATCGTCCTACAGAAGTTGGCCAACGTGTTTGAACAGCCTGTTGCAGAACAAATCGAGGTATTTATAGCTGCCTCCTGAGCAATTGCGCAGAGGAGATCTGATTTACTGTGAAATGTCAAACGTTCTATGGGAGAGTAATGGCTGACTGCAGCATTGTTACCTGTCACGTGTTTTGCTTTTGAGTACTGGGTTTGAATAACATGCTGGTGACGTTGACTCAGTCACTTCCATGTGGAAATAGGAAACGTGAAACAGGAGAAAGTGTCAGTGACAGATGCTGACCTGGAGGAGTTTGCCAGCCAGCAGTGGGGTTAGACATGAACCTTAGTGACACAGGACAGACAGTCACACTGTCCTGGGAGAGGTCCAGATGAAAAAGATGTTCAGAAGGAGACAGTTTTCCTCTAGCAGGAATAGGATCAGGGAAAACCATAGAGGGAAATTGGAACTAAATTAAGAAGTTCCCACACACTGCAGCCAGGAAGAAAAGGACTGAAGCAGAGGAGGACAGCAAGAACAAAGGCATAACTTTAGAAAATTCTGAGCGTGTAGCAAGAAGTTCATATACTCCTATTTGGCTGAATTTGATGAATGAAAATGATAAAATGGGGATAGATTTGGATGAATAAATTTGAAGCATGAATATCAGAGAGTTTGGATTTGATTCTCTGAACAGTGATCTCAGCAGTATTGATTGCATGCTCCATTGGCTAAAACAAAAATAAGGGCACACCACAAATACACACGTATTAATTCATTTACAAATTGTGAGCAGGTACCATGTCGTCTCACAAAGCATACACACCAATGAAAATTTAAATTGAGCATGAATGAATATAAATGAAAATCCATGTTGATCATCTCCCATGTGTTAGGGTATGTGGACTCACCTTGGAGTCTGGTGATATGAGGACACTGGGATGTTTGAGGGTGAGGCTGAATGTAAGTTCCAATCCTGCTTCTGGATGGTTGGCATGACCCCAGGATCAGGGAACAAGAGATTCACCATGGGTCTGCATGGGGCTGCTCCAACAAGAAGAAATGAGAACTCGAGCTACTGTGAGGACAGTGAAAATGGGGAAGAGAGAGAAACGGGAAGGATGTTACACAGATTATTTCCTGTTTCATAAACTACGTAATTATGAAAAGTATGTGTTTCAATAGAATTTCTTAACTTAATTTCAGTGAACCTTTGAGGAATCTATTGGCAGACTACAAAGAATTACATGCAACAAAAATCACTTGAAATATATATATGTACAATAGTTTGCAAAATTGCCTGTGAATGTGCTTTTTTTAAAGAATTATTTTATTTAACTTTATTTCTTTATTTTTAATTTGACCAGAGAGGGACAGAGTGAGAGAGAGAGAGAAAGAAAGAGAGAGATAAAGTGAGAAAGCAAGCCACCAGGTCTGGAACTCGAACTGTGGTCAGTCATGTGGGAGGCCAGTGTGATAAAATGGGGATAGATTTGGATGAATAAATTTGAAGCATGAATATCAGAGAGTTTGGATTTGATTCTCTGAACAGTGATCTCAGCAGTATTGATTGCATGCTCCATTGGCTAAAACAAAAATAAGGGCACACCACAAATACACACGTATTAATTCATTTACAAATTGTGAGCAGGTACCATGTCGTCTCACAAAGCATACACACCAATGAAAATTTAAATTGAGCATGAATGAATATAAATGAAAATCCATGTTGATCATCTCCCATGTGTTAGGGTATGTGGACTCACCTTGGAGTCTGGTGATATGAGGACACTGGGATGTTTGAGGGTGAGGCTGAATGTAAGTTCCAATCCTGCTTCTGGATGGTTGGCATGACCCCAGGATCAGGGAACAAGAGATTCACCATGGGTCTGCATGGGGCTGCTCCAACAAGAAGAAATGAGAACTCGAGCTACTGTGAGGACAGTGAAAATGGGGAAGAGAGAGAAACGGGAAGGATGTTACACAGATTATTTCCTGTTTCATAAACTACGTAATTATGAAAAGTATGTGTTTCAATAGAATTTCTTAACTTAATTTCAGTGAACCTTTGAGGAATCTATTGGCAGACTACAAAGAATTACATGCAACAAAAATCACTTGAAATATATATATGTACAATAGTTTGCAAAATTGCCTGTGAATGTGCTTTTTTTAAAGAATTATTTTATTTAACTTTATTTCTTTATTTTTAATTTGACCAGAGAGGGACAGAGTGAGAGAGAGAGAGAAAGAAAGAGAGAGATAAAGTGAGAAAGCAAGCCACCAGGTCTGGAACTCGAACTGTGGTCAGTCATGTGGGAGGCCAGTGCCCTTAACCACCACACCATCCGCTGGCCCCATGAATATGCATTTTTCTTGACCCTGGGTTTGTCTGCTTTTTCAAGAGATTCCTCATTTCTCCCCAATTAAAAATTATTATTTTATGTCATAGCTTCCTCATGAAGTGACTTTTTTTTTTTTTGGCTCACAATATATGTAATTATTCCAAAAAAGATTTGAGCAGCTACTATGTTAGCTTATCCTGGATTGATAATGTGACATTCAGGATATGTGTGAGCATAACTACCATTTTTATTAATTATTAATAAGAAACTAAATTAATACCATAGATAAATAATAAACAACTGGATTATTTCTTTAAATGGAAAACAACTAATGAATGTCCTGACTTCACCCCACCCTCCTTGGGTTAGATTGGTAATAATAGCAGAAAGTATGGGATTGACACTTCAATATGCTCATCCGTGAGTCATGTTACAATTTACAACAGACCTGTTACCTCATAAACCCGGTACACTGTTAACTTCTTGGGATCCACCTTCCCCACCAACCTGAAAATTGCCTTTACTTCTTATGTTGGATCTTCTCTTTTCTGAATGTCAGCTCTATTGGATTGCTTCCTTGTTAGTCCATATCCTTTCTAAGAAAGGGTGCACGATACAGGCATTTTTAATACTCTGAGTATTTGAAAATGTTCTTATACTGTGCTCACACTTTACTGCTTGGCTCTTTATGGAATTCTTGGCTGGAAATCAATCTCCTTTGGAATGCTGAGGCTTTTGCTCCATTGTTTTCTAGCCTCAGTGTCGAGTTTGGGAATCTGAGACTGGAAGGCTGTGGCCTGGCTGTAGCACTTTCTGACACAGAAAACACTCAGGGAACCCACAGTCAGCATTTAATGGGCACTCAAGCACTTCATTCATATTTTCAGTCAAGCACCACAACTGTGTCTGTCACCCATCGGTCCAGATACTCTCTGTATTACCATCTCCACAAAAGAAACTTTCAGTCGTTCACTAGGAGAAGAAAAAAGCAGTGTGGGAGGAGTAATGGATGTGGGGACTTAACTGCTCTTTAAGGAGCTTTTCATCCACCTTCCTTCCTTAGCATTCCATCCCACTCTACCCAGAGTGGAAGAGATGCCTGCTCTAAGCTTGCTGGGATAGATCCCCTGCCAAATTAGGAATCAAAGCTCCTGATTTCCCACGTCAGTTATCATGTGCTCTGCTTTCCAGCTTGCAAAATTTTGACAGTATTTTCTTTATTCCCAATTCCTTGTCCTTGTAGATTTATGGGGGATAAGCACACCAAAAAAAGTCCAAGCAAACGAAATATTTTCTGTGGTTCTAGTGGGGTTCAAAAAAGAGAAAATTGGACACACGTGTTTCATCTGCCATCTGCAGTCCAGGTTTTTTTCCTCATTTGAGGGCAACTGAAGTTGTATTACCTCCAAAAACCTACTTAGAGTGGGACTCACTGCTCTAGATCTCCCTTTTCCAAACTCCTCTAATGAGGATGAGGTGCAGCATCAAGTTTAGTATTTGCATGCACTTAGCCTTGTTTTGTTTCTCTCTGTTTATTCTGGCTTATGCCCAGACTGTCAGATCCTTGTAGGCCAGGTTGAGATCTTGTGCTGCTTCCACAGACCTCACACTGGGAGAACAAAGATGCGGAGAGCAGCCACTTGAAACACTGTTGCATGATTGATTTTCTGCTTCAGGACAGTGAGCAGGCTTTCCTTGACCCTGCTGTAACAGATTTCCCTCTTGCCTTGTGGAACCTCCCTGAAGATCCTCATAACCGCATTTTTAAGAACCAGTCCATGATCCCCTAGAAAGTCTCAGGCAAATGCCTCTTTCTTTCTCTTTGTTTTTTAAATTTATTTTACATTTATTCACTGAACATCATCACAGCATCCAAAATATGATTTCCCATCCAGAATACACTGTATAGTGAGTTACGCATATATGTTACTGTGCCCTAAAGTCATGCTTCCTTTTAAAGGTATTGCTATTCATGAATTCCCTTGTTTAAGGAAAACATCCTTTTCCCAATCCCATACCCTAAATTCCTCCCACCCGATTACCTTTAACTTTATGATAGATGGCCTATAGAATAATATGGGCCTTCGCTTTTCTCTATATGACCATGGTGTTTATGGTTTTTTGAAATGACTCCTTTTGTATGTATTACAAAATATTTATGTATAGGGAGGTGGCACGCAATGACGTTTTGTGTAAGGACATTGTTCCTGGTGTTTTAAGGAAATGTCACGCATCTTCCCCAGGCGATACAACAGGCTGAAGATGGACTAAAGGAGCTAGATGCAGGAATCATTGAATTAAAAAGGCGTGCTGACAAGTTGCAGATCGAGCAGCCTTCTATGCAAGAACTCTCCAAACTTCAGGTACGGTCTTCAACCAATGGCATTCACCTTTAATGGTGCCTTCCAACGTGAAGTTGACAACAAATTATTTTCCTATTTTTCTGGCATTCTCTATAAATTTATGTCACGTGGATCCTAACCTTTTCTTCTAAGTAAATCATAAAAAAGTTCAGGAAACTTTACCATACTTAGTGCAATAAAATGAATTGTAGTTGTGTGCATCTAAGACATATTTTTTTTCCAGTACTTATTTTGTTGTTATTATTATTCTAGTGGCTAAAAATTGTGGTAGAGTTTAGAATATTATTTTCTAGTCTAGAAAGTAAAATAATGATCTTTCCTACCTGGAAAATTCAAGAGGGAAACCTACCCTGTATTATACTACTTCCCAAAAATTATTCTGTAGAAACAATACTCAAGGTAAGATATTTTAAGGCATTCAGAACCCATATTTTACCTTCTATATGCGTTAAAATGGAAAACAAAACAAAACATTGTTTCAGTTCTAGAACAGCAAAAGCATTAAACTAGAAGTAACTAAAATCTAAGTCGACTTCCCAACATCCCTCGGGAATAGGGAATAGCATTTTGAATGAATTTACTTTACTAGATCTGACACCAAGGAAAGAATCCAATATTGGGGGTGAGAGGAAGATACTGAGGTATGAGACCAGCAAACTTTAGCATCTGATAGGCCATATAATTCTGTTACACTGTGTTTAGACAGACACACACACATACATACACACACACAAATGTATACATGCATGCACACACACACACTCATAGACTTTTCTTGTGTGCCTTTTTAAAAATTTTCTTCTTCTTCTTGTTTTTCCCACATGTAATAACTGTACATTTTTACCGCATTCAAAATGGAGTTTCTGGGGACCAGCAGTTAGCATAATGGCTATGTCACTGGACTCCCATGTAGTCGGCCGTGGTTTGAGTCCTGGACCTGGTAGCTTAAACTCACGCCGGGCACATGTGCATGCATGCCCAAGATCCCAAGAGGAGAAGGGTTTGCGGCATGGCCATCCCCCTGGGGGCATGATTTCTCACTTTCTGTCTCTCTGTCTCTCTCTGTCTTTCTGGCGAGCGCATGTGCCCTATAGCAGACCTCTCAAAAAAAAAAGACAAAATAGACTTTCTGGGCATGAGCATACTGCCCAGAAAGACTGAAAAAATTAGAAAATGATGAGTGCTGGCGAGGCTGTGGTGAAAAGGGAACTCTCTTGCACTATTGGTGGGATTGTGAATTAGTCGAGCCACCATGGAGAACAATGTGGAGGGTCCTCAGTAACCTTCAGATGGAACTACCACATAAGCCAGCACTACCACTCCTGGGTTTCTACCTAAAGGACAGGAAAACACTCAGAAAATCCCTTGCATAGTATGTTTACTGCAGCAGCATTCTCTGTATGCCTTATGGCATAACTATTGAGGGTTAGTAGTCTGAGTTCAATACAGACCCACAACTTCTTTCTTTTGAGAAAATAAAATGTCTCCTAAAAACAATGCAAAAGAAAAAAAAATTTAACTGTCTTATCTCTTTATCTAACATTTCATAATGTCATAAATGCACCACCCCCACTTAATTCTTTTTAGAGTTTTCCGGCAGCCCTGTGTCAGGTGTAAGCATCAGACGTCACAGCTATAAACAGGCATTAAAGTTGAACTTTTCCAGAACAGACCATTTGGGCCTGCTTAAGATGATACATTAATCAGGTCCATATGCCTCAAATGAGTTTTGTGTTTGGTGTATCATCGGCTCCTAAAATGTCTTTCTAGTTGAAATAGTTGTTTACTCCACCAGATTCAGCAAAACATTGCCTTTTTAAGTCGTAAAGTCTTTCTACTCACAGTAAACTCCTCTGTTTTGTTTTTCCTTTTTATCTGAGAAATAGTCCCAAATTTGGTTATTATTTAACAGACAAATATTAGGGATACTATCTATATTCAATTACTCTGAAATTATATAAACATTATGAAATTGGAATCACTTTTTCTATGACATCTCCCTCAGTTACGTTAGCCAATTTTTGACATTTTAACCACCTGTCTTCCTATTTGTATTGCTACAGTGTGAGAAGATAGTAATCACATCTCTGTCACATATAGGTAGATTTTCATATCTATTCACTCTTTGCATGTCCTTAGGAATCTTAAAATACTAAGCTTATTTTTTTATGAACCCATTTCTACTTCATTTTACATTTTTAACTTTTCTTTCTTCTTTATTTACATTTTTATTTTTAATCAACTTAAATTGTATTTTAGCAAATGGCATGAGATAAGAATTTAACTGTACTTTTCTCCAAATAGTTGTTGTTTTCACATTATCTATTGGATTTTTATCCTATCCCCAAGTGACTCCACACTTAAATTCCTATTCTCTAGACCAAGTTGTGAATTCAGTTCTTCTTATGAATACAGTTATTCTTTTTACTTTTCCTCTGTGCTTTATTGTTTGACAATTAAATTTTTTTAAAAAGTGTTAAGAGAGATTTTTACTATAGGACGTGTACATTCACCAGAGAGTCAGAGAGAGACAGAGACACAGAAAGTGAGAAATCACCCCCACCCCCTCAGGTAGGATGGACACACCACAATCCCTTCTCCTCCATTCTCCTCTCAGGATCTTGGGCACGCACGCACATGCGCCCAATGTGAGTTTTAAGCCATCAGGTCCAGGACTCGAACCACGGTCAACTACATGAGAGTCCAGTGACATAACCATCATTCTATCTGCTGGTCCCAAATTTTAAAAATTTAAAACAAAAAGAATACCAAACAAGATTAATGAGAGAGCTTAAACTACAGATGTCAAAACATTGTTAAGCATAGATCATGTGAACTATATATGAACTAGAGGTGCAAAGCTTACCTTTTTTCAAGACATTCTCAGAGTAAGTCTCAAGGAAGACAAGCAGGGGACAGCAGGTGGCTTAAAAGTTAAGGGCCTTGATCTCACATGGCCAACTGTGTTGTTTGAGTTCTGGACCTGACAGCTTGAAATTCATGCTGGGCGTGTGTGCATGAATGTCTAAAATCCCAAGAGAAGAATGGAGGACAAGAGATTGCAACATGGCCATCCTCCCAGGGGTGAATTCTCACTTTCTCTCCCTCCCCTCCTCTCTCTCTTTCTCTCTGTTGAGTGCATGCACTCTAGAGCAAAACTTAGAAAAAGAGAAAAGAAAAAGAAAAAAGGGAAAGGAAAGGAAAGGAAAGGAAAGGAAAGGAAAGGAAAGGAAAAGAGAAAAAGGAAAAGAGAAAAAAGAAAAAAGAAAAAAGAAAAAAGAAAAGAAAGACAGCCAGATGGCCTCCATGTGGAGAATCCCCATGGGTCCCATACTTGAAGTGGCTTCCCTGGTGGAGCCACGGGCCTGCCAGGTCAAATGCAGTTAGAAAGTTTCCAGGGTATGACTTAGGGCTTGCAGCTGTCTCTGTTTCTTAGGACATGTACGACGAGCTCATGATGACCATTGGCTCCCGGCGCAGCGGTCTGAACCAGAATCTCACACTCAAGAGCCAGTACGAAAGGGCCCTGCAGGATCTGGCTGACCTGCTGGAGACTGGGCAGGAGAAGATGGCTGGAAACCAGAAAATCATCGTGTCTTCCAAAGAGGAAATCCAACAACTACTCGACAAACATAAGGTAACAAAGGGGTAGAAAATGTAGTTGAGAAAGCATGTCCTCAAACCCTGATGTATATTTAGTCAAAGCTAACACTCTTCATCTTTTATGACTTTCTACTTGTAGGAGCTATTCTTCAGAATGGTCAATGTATATGTAAACCCTCTGACATTCAAACAGCACAGAAGAATGATGGGAGTGTATTTATATAATTTTGTAAAGAAAAAAAATTCACCTTACCAGTAACTTTGATTAATAGTTACTCATTATTTACTAGCCAGAACTTCACCTAGGGTAAATTGTAAATAGGGAACACTCAGGGGCTAACTTCAGAAGAGCCCAACCTCATTCGTAACTCTGCTTTCCCTGAGTATCCTTCATGCCCATCTGTGCATCTTGTCCTCAGTGCTCTCTGCTCCCCTCCCTTGCCCTGGCTAAGTACTCTGGGAATACAGACCTGCCCATTAGGCTCCAGCATTCGGTTACGTCTTATCCGTGCACCCCTCAGCTCTTCTGGCCCATAGCATATACTCCTTGGGTTGTTGTACATCTCACAGCTCTTATCTGGGGTCAGCCAGCTTTTTTACTATATAATCACACTTCGCAGGCGTGAGATTGCTCCATCAATGTTCGTCGTAACTAAGCTCAGGTGGAACATTGCTCTGTAACACATTCATACACACACACCCACACAAGAACATACACACATGCACACAAATAGCTCTTACCTTACTAGACTCATTATGGAAAGAATAATTTTGATAGTCCAGAGACCCAGCCTCCCAGACTACAGGAATTCCCTGCACAGAATCAGAAACTCAAAAAATCCTATCAGGTTAAAATAAAAAATTAAATATTTGACCATTATGTAATTCTCTGGTGGCTTATAGAGGTGAATTTTTTTTAATGTACTTCCTGCTGTATTTCCCCCCAGAGGTTTTTGTTCCAAACAGTATGATTATTAAAATCTTATTATTTAGCTTTGAAAATATTGCTGTAAAGTTCAAAGCTGATTTTTCTCAAATCATGGGCCGTCACGATGAAAGATTATACTGAGTTATTCCAGAAGGAAGTGAAGATCAATGAGTATAAATAACAGGGAAATAGAGCCCAACAGAAGAGGAACTAACAGAAGCAGATTGCATCAATAGACATCCCTCTGGCCATGGAAAGTCCAGGCAAGGCTTTAGGGGAGATGAGCTTGCAAAAGGAACCTCAGCTTTCATTCCATGCTAGACTAGATGACCTTCAAGTTCTTTTCCAACTTGAACAATTTATGATATAATAATTGTCAGTTAAAAAGGAATGACATGTATAGTATTCTCAACTGGATTGGTCTGAGAAGTATTTCATGATGGGCAAAGTATTTTTACAAGCAAAACGAGAAATAGCAATTGACTGTTTTATAAAAATAATTAGAATAATAAAAATAATGATTGGGGAAAACAGAAAAGATATGGAATGTTGAAGTGGGGAGATTAATGTCTCTGTACTGACTGACATGCATGGCATTCCCTTTTGAAAAAACAATGTAATACACTGTAAAGTTATATGTAATCCAATGTAATATAAACAAGATTATGATGATAATAAAAATTAAGTGAAGTAAGCCAGGCTATGAAAGAAAGATATTGTATGTATCCACTCAATATATACCGACTATCCGCACTCTATAATAGAGAGCAAAAATTCGGAGGACATAAACACAGTGAAGGTACTTAATGAGAATAGGACAGTGTGGAATGGGGTAAGTGAAGAGAAGAGGATAGAGAAAGATAGCAAGTGAACAATAGAGAGACAGGACGTTAGTGAGAAACAGATAGGGCTTATTAACTGTTGAGAATGACATGTATAGTATTCTCAACTGGATTGGTCTGAGAAGTATTTCATGATGGGCAAAGTATTTTTACAAGCAAAACGAGAAATAGCAATTGACTGTTTTATAAAAATAATTAGAATAATAAAAATAATGATTGGGGAAAACAGAAAAGATATGGAATGTTGAAGTGGGGAGATTAATGTCTCTGTACTGACTGACATGCATGGCATTCCCTTTTGAAAAAACAATGTAATACACTGTAAAGTTATATGTAATCCAATGTAATATAAACAAGATTATGATGATAATAAAAATTAAAAAAAATAAAAAATAAATAAAAAATAAAGGAATGATTCTAGCTTTGAAGACCAGGCGGTTTTCTGAGGGAGAGGTCTGCAGTGTTGGTGAGAGGTACAGATCCATCCATACTGTTCCGGTTTACTTCCCAGCTCTGCCACTACTAGCTTTGAGACCCTGAACAAGCTGTGTACTGGGTCATCAGAAAAGTCATGACTTATCTTTACATAGAAAAACATGACATTCCTTTTACGACAACCTAATAGATTGGACAGTTCAGTGTTCTCATCCATAAAACAGGAAATAAGCTACCTGTCTCAAAGCGTTACAAAGTTGTTGTAAGGAGGTAATGCATCAGTTATGTGTTTACGGAATGCCCAGCAGAAAGTAGGCACCCGATACATGTGAACTGTTATTATCACTTCCCAGCCCTCGGTTATGTTCATGTTGCTGGGACCAGAAAATGACAGGCTCCATTTCCATCCTCTAGGGTCTATCGCATGTAAAAAGGAACATTTCACAACATTTTCGGGATCATACAAGGCGTGCAGTTCTGTTACGTGTAGGAATAATACAAGGGAAATTTTAAAATATTTAATACCCATTAGTGTGCATCAAACTATGCCTGACAGCAAATAATGAAACACTATTCATCACAAACACTGAAAGTTCAAAGAGTAGGAATTAAGCCCAGACATGGGGGAAAGAAAGTCGCTGTGTCTTGTCAAATGAGAACATCTCGAGAGTTACAGAGTACAGGGAAAGGCCCTTGATGAGAGAATGAGAGCTAATGTGTCAACAGCCCTGGAAGCCAGTTGTATGGTGGAGACAGTGAGAGATGGCTGTCAGGGCAGTGAGGAAGGCCAGACTGCTCGTGGAGGAGATATTAATAGGGCAGAGGTGTCTTTTCTGCATCTGGCATATGTGACAAGCTTCGTGCGTCTGTAGCATAGCAGCGTGTAGGATATACTTGAGAGAGAGGGGAGAGGTCAGTTAAGAGATTAGAGCCCCATCTCTGCAGGAAGCGGTGATTGCCTGGGTCAAGGGGGAGGCAAGTAGGGTGAAATGACACCACTCATGCCATTCCATCAGCTTTCACACTTTTTATTGTAATGTATTGTATGAGTGAGTTGCTGACTTCTTTCTACCTGAAAAATTGCAGGAATACTTTCAGGGCCTGGAATCTCATATGATCTTGACTGAAACACTCTTCAGAAAGATAATCAGCTTTGCGGTTCCAAAGGAAACACAATTCTATGCCGAACTGATGGCTCAAGCTTCTGCTGTCCTGAAACGAGCTCATAAGAGGGGCGTGGAGCTGGAGTACATCCTAGAGGTGAGATTGCGTGTGTAGCCGCTTCCCTACTGCAAACTCCCTGCTGCAAAATGGACCTTGAAGGCCAAATGTATTCATTCACACTGCCTGCCTCCTGTGACCTGGGGACTAGCAGTGCTCTCTCGTGCAGGACTCTGCTTTTCTTTTTGCCCTCCTTGTATTTCTTGTGTGCATTTGGATATCGGCTGTGTTATGTTCCAAGACAGCTAGCTGAGTACTGACTCCAGACTGTGCATGAAGAGATTTGGGTTTTGGTATTCAGACTGATCACCTAATTGATAACATGAAAACTGTGGAAATATATACCTGACTCTGTCTGTGTGCAATTGCTTTTCCGGTAAGATCTGTCATGAGACTCCAGAAGCTAGAGGGTAGTCACTGAGCCCCAATCTTTGCACTCTGAAAGCAGAAAATGAGTGACAACCACACCCACGTCTGTCTGACTTCATAGCCTCAAGGTGTGTTTCTCAATGAGACCTTCCTGACCACACCATGTAAATTGCAGCTCCCCCATGTACACACCTGGCATTCCCCCTTCCCATACTTGGCTCTATTTTATCCTTCACAGCACACAAACTCCCTAAGATACCATGAAGTTTACTGTTTTTAAAAAATGTATTATCCATTGTTGATTGTTTATCTCCTCTCACTAGAATGCAGCCTCATGAAGTTAGCAATTTTTGAGTTTTATTTACTAATAGATTCCTAGTCCTTCAGCAGTGCCTAGTCATAGGTGTTTATTAAGTACGTTGAAGAAAGTATGGGTTTCTACTATCGTGCATGTTGCCACTCTAACTGCACATTAAAGTGAACATGCACGGGAGAAACTGCTGACCCTGGTTGTAAATTATTGGAAAAGATGAACTGACTCATTTCTTTTTAATATTTCTCCAGTTTTAAATAATAGAAATCTAAACTGAGAAACAAATGACGTGGTATTATTCTTAATAAGACATCTATACTATACATTTATATTTTTAATATCCATGTTTTATTTTTATTATTTTTTAAAATTTTGCTACAGAGCATGTAGCTCAATCACTTACCAGAGATAGGTAGAGAACGAGAAGGAGAAAGTACCCCCCCCCCCTACCATGGGTTTGGACATGCTGCAGTTCCTTATCTATTTCTC